AAAAAAAAAAAAAAAAAAAAAAAAAAAAGAATCCGCCTTCCAATGCAGGGGACCAGGGTTCGATCTCTGGTCAGGGAACTAGGATCCCACCTGCCGAGGGGCAACTAAGCCCGCATGCCACAACTACTTAACTCGAGCGTCTCAACAAGAAAGCCTGTGTGCCCCAAACTACAGAGCCCACGTGCCCTGGAGCCTTCGTGCCACAACTAGAGAGAGAAAACCTGCATGCCACAACTAGAGAGAAGCCCGTGCACCACAATGAAAGATCCCGCATGACTCAATGAAGATCGTATGGGCTTCCCTGGTGGCACAGTGGTTGAGAGTCCGCCTGCCGATGCAAGGAACACGGGTTCGTGCCCCAGTCCGGGAAGATCCCACATGCCACGGAGCGGCTGGGCCCATGAGCCATGGCTGCTGAGCCTGCACGTCCGGAGCCGGTGCTCCGCAACGGGAGAGGCCACAACAGTGAGAGGCCCGCGTACCGCAAAAAAAAGATGGTGTGTGCCGCAACTAAGACCCAACGCAGACAAAAATAAATAAATAATAAATCTTTAAAAAAAATAATTGAACAAAAATTAAAAAATTAAAACCTCAGGGAATTCCCTGGTGGTCCAGTGATTAGGAACATGTACTTCCACTGCTGGGAGCACAAATACAATCCCTGATCAGGGAACTAAGGACCCACATGCCCCCAGGCATGGTCCCCCCCTAAAAAAAAATCTGTTTTAAAAACCTCACATATAGGCCTGACTCAGGAAGACAACAAAAATCTAAATACAATAGTATCCATAAAGTTTAGCTTACAATAAAATATGGTAAGAATCAGGACAGAAAATAAAATTAGTCAACAGAAACAGACCCAGGGAATCCCCTGGAGGTCCAGTGGTTAGGACTCCATGCTTTCACTTTCACTGCCTAGGGTGCGGGTTCAATCCCTGGTCAAGTAACTGAGATCCCACAAGCTGCGCAATGCCAGGAAGGGAGGGAGGGAGGAAGGAACCCAGAAATAATATAATTAGCAGACAAGAACTTTAAAATAGATATTATAATTCATGGATATAGAGGAGAATATGAATATAATGAGGGAATAATATGCAATCTCAACACAAAAGTGCAAGATATGAAAAAGACCCAAATGGAACTTTCAGAGTTAAAAAATACATTATTTAATGTAAACAACACATTAGATGATATTATCAACAGATTAGATACTACAAAATTAAAGATAAGTGAAGTTGAAGGTAGTGCAATAGAAACTATCTAAACTGAAACAGAAAAAGTCTGGGGGAAAAAAGTGGAGAATCATAGAACCCCAAGGGACAATCTTAAGCAGTTTAATACAAATGTATAATTGAAACTCCAGAAGAGAGGAGTTATTGGGGAAGAAAAAATATTTTAAGAAATAATGGTCAAGGAGGACAATATCCTACACTTGGAATCTATGAAATTATTTTACAGTTTAATATTTATTGAATTACACAGTTAATTCACCAAGTACAAAGAACAACAAACTTAATAGCTTTCTTTTTTAAAAAGTCAAAAAATATTGACATTAGATACAAAATATAAACCCACTGATCCCAGAAGCAAAAATGGACCCAAAGTGAAATAAACAAAAGATACCACAACATAATAAATGTCTACAAACCAACAATAAAGAGAAAAACCTTAAGACTGGGGGAGGGGGGAACCAGAGGTAATGTGGACACAGTTAAAAAAAAAAAAAAAAGAAGTATGACCACTAAATTTTCATCAGAAGTAATACTAGCCAGAAGACAATGAAATAACATTTTCAGGGATTTCCCTGGTGGGCCAGCGGTTAAGACTCCACACTCCCAATGCATGGGGCCCAGGTTTGATCCCTGGTCAGGGAACTAAATCCCATGTGCCACAACTAAGAGTTCGAATGCCCCAACTAAAGATCTCGCATGCCACAACTAAGAACCAGAGTAGCCAAATAAATAAATAAATATTCTTTAAAAAAAGAAAAACTAAGTGTAATGAAAATATCTTTCAGAAATAAAGGTAAAATAAAGACATTTTCAGACTTTTTTTCTTATTTCCTAATTCCTTTTAGAAATAACTGATTGATCAAAGAAAAAGTAAAAACAATATATTGTGCAATTTCTAACATGGAGAAGTAAAATCTATTATTTCAAAAGTACAAAGTACAGGAAAGAGGGGAGAAAATGAAAGAATACTGTTGTAAGGTGAAGCGATATAGTTAAAAGTAGACTGTGGTAAGTCAAACATGTATATTTTAAAACCTGGAGTTGTGACTCTCAAACTTAGGACCGCTTTATACTCTTAAAAATTCTATTACATCTTTCAACATTTTCTGCATTAAAACTAAGAAATATATCAAAATTTATGAGCATTTCCCCCAAGAAGTAGATATAGTTTAAAACCTTCCCTCAGGGGGGGAGGGATAAATTGGGAGTTTAGGATTGACATAACACACTACTATATTTAAAGTAGATAACCAACAAGCACCTACTGTATAGCACAGGAAACTCTGCTCAATACATTCTGTAATAACCTAAAGAGGAAAAGAATTTGAAAAAGAATAGATGTATGTATAACTGAATCACTTTGCTGTACACCTGAAACTAACACAACATTGTAAATCAACTACAGTCCAATATAAAATAAAAATTAAACAAAAAAGTCCCCCAAAGAAATTAAAGTCTCAATGGCTTCACTGGTGAATTCTGTTAAACATCTAAGGAATATATAACATCAATATCTCACAAACTCAAAAAACTGAATAGGGAACACTTCCCAACTCATATTTTAAGGCCAACATTATCTAGATACTAAAACCAGATAATTTTTTTTTTTTTTTTTTTTTTTTTGCCCTTGCCACGTGGCTTGTGGGATCTTAGTTCCTCGACCAGGGATCAAACCCGGGCCCGCAGCAGTGAAAGCACAGAGTCCTAACCACTGGACCACCAGGGAATTCCCAGATAAAATATTCCTAAAGAGCAATTTGCCTCATAAACATGGACATAAACAATATTTCAAAAATATTAGCAATAGGGCTTCCCTGGTGGTGCAGTGGTTGAGAGTCCGCCTGCCGATGCAGGGGACACGGGTTCGTGCCCCGGTCCGGGAGGATCCCACGTGCCGCGGAGCGGCTGGGCCCGTGAGCCATGGCCGCTGGGCCTGCGCGTCCGGAGCCTGTGCTCTGCAATGGGAGAGGCCACAACAGTGAGAGGCCCGCGTACCGCAAAAACAAAAACAAAAACAAAACAACTCAGCAAACTAGGAATAGAAGAAAAATTCCTTAATTTGACAAAGGGCATCTAACAGAAAAACATATAGCCAGTATCATACTTGGAGGTGAAAGATCTAGAACAATACAAAGATGTCTATTCTCACCACTTCTACATTCTACAAAAGGTCCTAGAAAATGCATTTTAAAAAAAAGAAAATAAAAAGCACAGATTGAAAGAGAATAAGTAAAGCTGTCTTTATTTGCAGATGACAGATTGTAAAGAAAATCTTAAGAAATCTTAAAAAAACTGGAGAAAATAGGTGGCTTTAGCAAAGTTGTAGGATACAAGATCAATATACCCCCCAAATTATAAACTTTTAAAAAGTATTTACAGTACTATCAAAAACAGGGATAAATTTAACAAAATACTTTAAAAACCTTTACACCAAAAACTACAAAACACTGCTAAATAAAATTAAAAACAGCATAGAGAAATATATCTAAAGGAAAAGTATTCATGCATTGTACAGCTTTTAAAATTAAAAATAAAATCTTAACCAAAAAAACGAGTGTACATAGTACAGTATGGAACCAGACAGAAAATGGATTAGTTTGATCACTTTTCTAAAGAAAACCTTGTTTTTCAATTCCAGTCAGCGCCAACAAAAAATGTGCTTGACACGCTGTGCTAGTACATACATTAAAAAGGCAGCTTTTCCATTAGCTACAAACAAATTTACAAATTATTTAGGCAGCTTTTAAAAGTGAGTCCAAAAGGGTCTACAGGAATACAGGCTAGATCTTTGAAGGACACAAAAGCCAACAAGGCGTCAGCAAGTAAAGTACAACCTCAATCAGGATATTTCCTTCCCCCCCCGCCCATACTAATTGTGGGTTGAGCGTTCATTAGATTTTGAGTTCTAAGAGCGGTAGCCCTTGGGATGTTGTAGAACATGGAGTCTGACATCAGAACAACTGATGTCAGGCTCCAGATCATTAGAAAGTCAAGGAAGGGTTCTCAATCTCCCTATACACCAGTAAAATGCCTACAAAAAAATCCGAGATTACTCTAGAAATGCAATACCTGACACACAGTAGGCGCCAAATACAAACTCTTTTGGTTTGCATTTTACTCAGTTTAGTCTAACAGGCATTCCGAGGGAAAAGAGAGGGAAACAAACACGTGTAATTTAAGGAATTTCAGTCTTCCGGGTTCCAGTGCCCCCCGCTGGGCTCAGAAGGTCTTTCCTGTTAATGATCCCGGGACCGACAGGTCACAGCCTCTGGGAAGCAACAGAATCCCAACACACGTGGGGGAACGGTCGAGGTTTGAGGCATTTGGGTGCATCATGACAAAAAGCGCCACCGTCTACTACGGGCCAAGCCTAAAGCCATGCCCAGCACTTACGTCTACATTTACACCACCCTGCAAAATAGCTGCCACCCTCGCAGGCACAGGTGAGCATCAGAGACCTGAGCAGGAGACTCGCCCAGGGTCACGCGGGAGGCGGGACTCATCCCGCCGCCCCTCCTCTCAGCTGCGCAGGGTCTGCTCGCTCGGCTCCAAGGCTGGGACGCCCTGGGCGGAAAACTCCTCTCCGGCATGCACTTCCCATAAAAGATAGAAGCCTGGCAGGGGCTCAGCCTCTTCAGACTTTACCCCCGCGTCGGTCAAAAGAGCCAACAAGTGCCTCAGCACAGTCCCCGACGACTCGCCGTGCTCGCCAGGGGCCTGGCGACCCGCCTAGGCTCGCGTTCCCCCCTCCCCCTCCCCGGTGCTCACCTGCGTCACGCCGCAGCCCAGGTCGTCCTTCTGAGCGTCCGGAAGGACGATAGTCCGGGGCGAAAGGCCTGGGTGCAAGAAGTGAACCATGGCGAACCCCGCCGGAGAGGCGTCAAGAAGAGAGCGGCCGTCGAGCAGGGCCTGTATCCCGCGAGAGGTGGTCTGGACCGGCACCGGAAAGCAGCTGAACAGCGCCCGCTCGGCGGGCAGGCACTTGGCGCCCTTGCGGAAGGTTTGGGCTTTTGAAACGCTCGGCGTGGCGACGCGCAGTCGTCCGCCGCAGACCCCGCCCCCAGGACAGCCTTCTCCACCCACACCGGGCCGACCACCCCTCCACGCCTTGAGGGCCCAATCGCCCTCCTTCCGCCTTTTTGACGCCCCAGAGACCAACCTTAGGCCTGCCGAACCACTCGCCCAACTCCTACACATCCTTCTGAGACCGTCTCCCTCCAACCGACACCATAGGGCTAGGTACCACATTCTTGTCGCCGGTCAAAGGCATGGCCACCGACCAGCTCCGTGGAGTTGGGAAATAGAATGTGGTGGGCCCTCCGTGTCCCCAGGGACATTGGTTTCAGGATCCACCATATGCAAATCCTCTGAAACTGAAGTACCTTATATAAAATGGTGTAACATTTGCATATAACCTAGGCACCTCGTCCCCTATACTTCAAATCACCTCTAGAGTGCTTATACTAATACAATGTAAATGCTGTGTAAATAGCTGCTGGTACTGGCAAATTCAACTTTTGCTTTTTGAAATTTTATGGAATTTTTTTTCTGAACATCTTCCATAGCTGTTGAATCCAGGGATGGAGAGCCCGTGGATAAGGAGGGCTGACTGTATACATTTTTAAAAAATTACTTATGGCTGTGTTGGGTCCTCGTTGCTGGGCACAGGCTTTCTCTAGTTGCGGCAAGCGGGGGCTACGCATTGCGGTGGCTTCTTTTGTTGCAGAGCACGGGCTCTAGGGCGTGCAGGCTTCAGTAGTGGCACACGGGCTCAGTAGTTGTGGCTCACAGGCTCTACAGCACAGTCTCAGTAGTTGTGGCGCACAGGCTTAGTTGCTCTGCAGCACGAGGTATCCTCCCAGTCCAGGGATCGAACCTGTGTCCCCTGCATTGGCAGTGCAGGCGGATTCTTAACCACTGCACCACCAGGGAAGCCCCTACATTTTGAAATATATTTTTTAAAGTCCTTTCTCCTACACGTCTGGCAACAGCACCTCTCTTATATCAGACCTCTGTTTCAACTAATACTGACATTGGATGAATCAAATATCAAAACCACTTCTGATCTAGTAAGTACACAAACTGAACTGCTCAGCTTTCTTGTGACCTGAAAAGTATGGAGAAGACCCTTCTAACCTGCTCCAAGAAAGAAACCCTGAGAGAGAGTAGTAAATTAGTACACTTTAGCTAATTTAAGAGAAAATATGTCCTGGAAAAGGATAGTTATTAAGAGTAGGAGGCTTGGATTTGAATCCTGCTTTGGAATGCCTGCTCAGCCACCTACTCACTTGTGAACCTTGGACAAGGTTTTTAATTTCTCTGAAGCTCAACTTCCCCATCAGTAAAATGGGGTGAGAATGCCTTATCTCACAGGGTTAATATAAGGATTAAATAAGATAATGTATGTAGGGAGTTCCCTGGTGGTCCAGTGGTTAGGATTCCATGCTTTCACTGCCATGGTCCAGGTTCAATCCCTGGTAGGGGAACTGAGATCCCTCAGCTGCACGGCAAAAAAAAAAATAGAAAAAAAAAAAAGATTATGTAAAACACATGAAAATGAGTAATGGAACAAGTCCTTGATAAGTGGATTCAAATGTTAAAGTTATTTTTCAAGTTCAAATAACTGCAAAATGCTTTCCTTTCACATTTATTCTTTTATTTAATCCTCATACAAATAGAAATCCCAGGCCTTAGGTATCTCCATTTTACCCATAGAGAAACTGAACTACCCGAGGGATTGAACAGACAAGTTAAATTTTACCTACCTGATGAGTGGAAAACCTGGGAGTCAAAATTGAGTTTTCTAAATCCAAATCCAATCAATATTCTTTTTTTAATTTAATTTTTATTTTAGATTGGACTATAGTTGATTTACAATGTTGTGTTAGTTTCAGGTATACTTTTTTAAATTTAATTTTTATTTTATATTAGAGTACATTAAATGGACTATTTCCTAACTTCTATCCTCAACTCTCCAACACCTCTTCCCCGAACCATACTGTTAGTTTCCTCTTTCACTGAAAAAAGAAAAGAATCAAAAAGAACATTCCAAGCTCCCCCCCATCACATCTACCCACCTACCAGTATAGGCTCTCTGTCTTTGCATTCCCTCCTATTACTATGAACTATTTACACCCTTATCTAAGGCCAACTCTGGACTTGTGCAATAGATCTCATCTTCCCTTGCTTAGTCAAAGACATCATCCAGCAACATCCTTTCTCCTGAATTATCATTTTTTCCCCCTCCTTCTTGGATCATTCCCACCAGCTGATATTTTTCCCATAATTAAAAAAAAAAACAAAAAAACCCACTTCTTTTGACCTAATTTCCCTAGTCAGGTATTGCCCTCACATCTCTTCCATCCTTTAGAGAAAAACTTATCCAAAATGTGGTCTGCACTTGCTGTCTCCAATTTTCTCTTACCATTTTTTTACCTCTGCCACTCTACTAACCGTTCTTGTCAACTTCAAAGTTGCTAAATTCAGTTGTCACTCCTCTCTCATCTTATTTGTTCGGCAGCATTTGACCCAAGTGATCATTTCTTCTTCCCTAAAATACTTCCTTCATTTGGCTTCCAGGATGCATCTTCTCCGCCGCCTCCTCCTCCTTGCCTTCCTCCTTCTTTCTCTTCTCTTCCTACCTCATTGTCTGCTCCTTCTCATCCTCTTGATTTCTCATCACCCAGAGTTCTAAATCTTTGTGTACCCCCAAGACTCAGTACTTACATACCTCTTCTCTATCCATTCTCTCTTACTTGTGGTAATTTCATCTAGTTTCATAACTAAAAGAAATCTATATGCTGATATATCCCTATTTTATGTGTCTATCCTGTACCTTGCTTTTGAACTTCAGACTGATACATCCAGCTGTCTATTCAACATATTCATCTGGTTATCAAAATAGCCTTAATGTGTCGAAAAGTAAACTCCTGTTGTCCTCCCCCTGACCTGCTTTTCCTGCCAGTCTTTCCTTTTTCAGTATATGGCAACTCTTTGCTTTCAGTTGCTCGTGACAAAAACATTGGAAATAATTTTTAACTCCTCTTTCATTCTTATATCCCATATCCTATCTCTTAGGAAATCCTATTGACTGTGTCTTCAAAATATATCCAGAGACTCTCTATGTCTTATCTCTTCTACTGCTACCCTGGTCCAAGCCCCTGTCATAACCCACTTGAATTCTTACAATATCCTCTTATCTGGTTTCCCAGCTTCCAGCCTTGTTTCATTAAAATCTATTCTCAACATAGCAGCTAGAGTGATCACTTTAAACAATCATGTCACCCTTCTACTCAAAAGCTATCTCCAATAGCTTCCCATCTCAGGCAGAATTTAAAAATTCATAAGGATGGTGCTCTACGAGGTTCTACATAATCTGTTCTTTCCACGCCCTTCTCTCACCTCATCTTCTGCCACTCTCTCCTTTGTTTATTCTACTCCAGCACTATTGGACTCCTTGTTACCCTCATGGATGTCTCTCTTACTTCCCTCAAGTTTTTGCTCAAATGTTACCAAGTTTTTGCTCAGGACTTACATTAAACAGCAATCCTCACCACCATCACCACACCCTCCCCATACTTCTTGTCCCTTTTGTTCTGCTTTTATATTTAACGTTGTCATGCTGTATATTTATTTTGTTTCTGTTTATCTTCTGCTCCCTCTCACTAGGAAAAAAATATAAGCCACATAAGGGCAAGGACTTTGTTATCCCCAGGCCTAAAACAGTGCCTAACTTATAAAAGGTGGTCAATAATATTTGCTGAAAAAAAATACATGAAATGGCTACCTGGAAAAAATGAATTATAGTTGTAAAAGGAAGTTCGTCTCCAAAATCAGAGGCAAGGTTGCAGCTATTCAGAGAAGGGCAAACTTTTGTGACAAACTTTGCCTCCACCTCTTCTTCCCCTAATCTCCTCTATGCCCATCTGCTACTTATTCTCCAGTTTTCCACTTCAGTTTAACAGTTTCTGAGGATTTAGTTCATGCTCCTAGTTGACCCATTACCAGACTCATCCCTTCCAGTCTCTTACCCACCTAAAATGAGTATTCTACCTAAAACACAAATCTGACCACGTTTCTCCCCAGTTTAAAACACTTCCATGGATCCCCATTTTCCTCAGAATAAAATCCAAACATCTTAGGATGGTTTTAGATTGTCCTTCATGATCTGGCTCCTGGTTACATCTCTAGTTTAAACCCTCAGTATTCTCATTATAACATTATGTACTGGAACTTGCCTGGTGGTCCAGTGGGTAAGCCTCCGCACTCCCAACGCAGGGGGCCTGGGTTTGATCCCTGGTTGGGGAACTAGATCCTGCATGCATGCCCAACTAAGAAGTCCACGTGCCACAACTAAAGATTCTGCGTGCCGCAACTAAGACCGGGTGTGGCCAAAATAAATAAATAAATACATTTTTTTAAAAACTAGGTACTGGGCTTCCCTGGTAGAACAGTGGTTGAGAATCCGCCTGCCATTGCAGGGGACACGGGTTCAATCCCTGGTCCGGGAAGATCTCACATGCCACGGAGCAACTAAGCCCACGCACCACAACTACTGAGCCGGCACTCTAGAGCCCGCAAGCCACAACTACTGAAGCCCACGCACCTAGAGCCTGTGCTCTGCACCAAAGAGAAGCCACCACAATGAGAAGCCCGCACACCACAACGAAGAGTAGCCCACACTCGCTGCAACTAAAGAAAGCCCGCACATAGCAACAAAGACCCAAAGCAGCCAAAAATAAATTAAAAAAAAAAAATTACGTACTGAAATTGTTTCAATTCTAGAAATGTACCTTTGCACATTCATTGTTGTCCATGCCACCTCCCCCTACTAAGTAATTCCTATTAATCCTTCTGAT